GCGTGTGGTGTTTGGGGGGGCGGGTGCCGGGTTTGGGGGGGGGGCGGGGTTTGGGGGCGTTTGGGGGCGTTTGGGGGGGTTTGGAGGGGTTGGGGGGGTTTGGGGTGTTTGGGGGGTTCAACTTCAAAGCCGCCGTTGTTCGGAGGAGCCCTTACCAATCACTTGAACATCTCTTTTGCTGTTTGTTTGTTGTAGCCCTGCAACGGAACCTCCTTTTCAAATCGGATCTCCAATTTCCGAAAGGACCCCCCTTCAGGTTCCTTCCGTCAGATTGCAGAGCAGTAGGTTAGGTTTCTTAAAAGCTCAAACCGGGGGCCAGGGGCAGGCTCCCGTTGATGCCCTTTTCGGTCTTTCAAAATGCAGGAGCCCCTTTTGCGCACCTTGTTTTGAAAATGGTAACAACAAACAAAAGCCTCGCTTTCGGCTTTTGCTTTTTTGCCCGAAAAAAGCAAAAAGAGAGAAGCAGACGATAGCACACCCTGCTCAAAGGTCGCCGGATGAAGACTCATTGCAGACACCGCCGGAGCCGACGCCTCAGAGCGAGCGATGCGAGGCATCGGCAAAGAACAGCCTTGCAGGTTTGAAGATTGGTGGCTTGGATTTCGTTTTGAATCGCACAAAGCCGCAGGTAGGTAGGTGTTTGTACGTGTGCAACAAAAAAGTCAATGCTTTTTGCATAGATAGCATAGATACACTGTACCTCCCATATATATATATATATATATTAGTACGAGACAAGCCCCCTTCAGTTTCTTCTCGTAAATCCAGTAAACCATTCCCAAGGTAACAAATTAAAGGACCGGATAACCCCACATGCTATGTTTTTCCCAAGGATGTGAGTTCAAATGTCCACACACATGTACCGTGCGCCCCATGTACCGCGCGCGCGACAACATCCTGTCCCTCTAGACAGCTGCCGAATGCTACCCCTGCCACACAAACACACACCCAGATGCACAGAATGCTGCGCCTGCCACGACTTCGGCAACGGCATCGCTAAAGTGCTGCGCCTGCCACGATTTCGCACGCCCCCCGCCGCGCGCGCGACAACATCCTGTCCCTCTAGACAGCTGCCGAATGCTACCCCTGCCACACAAACACACACCCAGATGCACAGAATGCTGCGCCTGCCACGACTTCGGCAACGGCATCGCCAAAGTGCTGCGCCTGCCACGATTTCGCACGCCCCCCGCCGCGCGCGCGCCAACATCCTGTCCCTTTAGACAGCCGCAAATTTCTGCCCCTGCCACACAAACACACACCCAGATGCACAGAATGCTGCGGCTGCCACGACTTCGGCAATGGCATCGCCAAAGTGCTGCGCCTGCCACGATTTCGCACGCCCCCCGCCGCGCGCGCGACAACATCCTGTCCCGTTAGACAGCTGCCGAACGCTGCGCCTGCCACGATTTCGCACGCCCCCCGCCGCGCGCGCGACAACATCCTGTCCTTTTAGACAGCTGCCAAATGCTGCCCCTGCCACACAAACACACACCCAGATGCACAGAATGCTGCGCCTGCCACGACTTCGGCAATGGCATCGCCAAAGTGCTGCGCCTGCCACGATTTCGCACGCCCCCCGCCGCGCGCGCGACAACATCCTGTCCCGTTAGACAGCTGCCGAACGCTGCGCCTGCCACGATTTCGCACGCCCCCCGCCGCGCGCGCGACAACATCCTGTCCTTTTAGACAGCTGCCAAATGCTGCCCCTGCCACACAAACACACACCCAGATGCACAGAATGCTGCGCCTGCCACGACTTCGGCAATGGCATCGCCAAAGTGCTGCGCCTGCCACGATTTCGCACGCCCCCCGCCGCGCGCGCGACAACATCCTGTCTCTTGCGCGACAACATCCAGTCCCTTTACACGGTGTGAGTGAAAGCTGAGTGTGAGTGAGTCAGCGAGTGTGAGTGAGTGAGTGAGCGAGTGAGTGAGTGAGTGAGTGAATGAGAGTGAGTGAATGAGAGTGAGTGAATGAGAGTGAGTGTGAGTGAGTGAGTGTGAGTGAGCGTGAGTGAGTGAGTGAGTGAGTGAGTGAGTGAGTGAGTGAGTGAGTGAGTGAGTGAGTGAGTGAGTGAGTGAGTGAGTGAGTGAGTGAGTGAGTGAGTGAGTGAGTGAGTGAGTGAGTGAGTGAGTGAGTGAGTGAGTGAGTGAGTGAGTGAGTGAGTGAGTGAGTGAGTGAGTGAGTGAGTGAGTGAGTGAGTGAGTGAGTGAGTGAGTGAGTGAGTGAGTGAGTGAGTGAGTGAGTGAGTGAGTGAGTGAGTGAGTGAGTGAGTGAGTGAGTGAGTGAGTGAGTGAGTGAGTGAGAGTGAGTGAGAGTGAGTGAGTGTGAGTGAGAGTGAGTGAGTGAGTGAGTGAGTGAGTGAGTGAGAGTGAGTGAGAGTGAGTGAGAGTGAGTGAGTGAGTGAGTGAGTGAGTGAGTGAGTGAGAGTGAGGAGTGAGTGAGGGGAGGAGGAGGAGGAGTGAGAGTGGCGCGGCGGGCGGAGGACGAGCGGTAAAAGTAAGAACCCCACACATAGATGTGGGGAAAAACCCTTGCCACCCTACACAATAAAAACCAAGCGTTGAGAGCAATGCCTGGTGAGTTACCCCCAAAAAGGCTTTGGATCCCTCGCCTGGATCCACCGATCTGGATCCGTCCACCCGGCCGACGGCATCGGGCCCACAGCCTGGTGCCTTCCGCAGGCTGCTGGTGGAGTTCGCTCAGCTCCTGCCGCAGCTGAGGGCGATGCGGCAGCTCCTGCGGCGGGTGGAGGCCGAGAAGCCCAGACATCGGCGGACGTGGGGGGGGCCACCCAGCCTCCCATACACAGGGCTGGGCGAATGGGGCGAATTTGGGGGGGGAGGGGGGGCCTTCTGTGGATGAGGGAAGAACATTGCGGAATTGTGGAAAGAAATGTTGCATGGCTACAAAGTTGGCTGCAAACAAGAGCTCTACGAGCAAAATAAACAACAAATTGTAGGATGCAGGTCTTTGACTGTTGATTTCCCTTGTTTCCAGCTTAAGAATTATAATTACTCAACCAGAGGAGGTCAGGATCATTTGGCGTTGAACGCTTCCCTATTCATCTGCAATCCGTAGGGTTTGTGACACGATGTTGACCCAGTTTTCAGTTCCCCCGATATTCCAGTTCTTCAAGCCGACCCAGCCACACCAGTCGAAATAGGTTCCCGATCGGTCCACTCGAGGTCCACGAGAACACGCGTCCCTATACAGGGCTCCTTAAAAGATACATTTTGCAACCTTTTGAAACATGTTTTTTTCAACACCAAAATAAAGGGAAACCACTATTTACAAGGCCATGTTCAGGTGTTTTTCATGTAAGGATCCCTGCTATAGTTCCTCTTTGGGCAGCTCGTTCGCCGCGCTTTACCTCGCAGGCGGTGGCTGTGAACTTGCTGAGGCCGGGAGGGGGTTTTCGAGTGATCTCCGCGGTCCCTGTAGGCTCAACTTTTTCAGGAAACCACCCTTGTTGGCGTTGTTTTAAGGGAAAACGGGGGAGGAAAAAAACACTGGTTTTGGGTTTGCCCCTATTTAGAGACAGACCCAATATGTCCTGGGATGTCTGTTGAAATGGGCGTTTTACGTTTCAAGGTGCGCAAGTTCTGGACCCGAATCAAACCGATCTGCTTGGGCGGGCGAAATCAAACATATATTTTTGTTGGGGAGGGCAAAGCTGAGTTAGTTTCCCTTTGTTGCAGGGGGTATTTGTTCGTGGTCAGGGTGGATCCCTTTGCTTGTTCAGGCTGGGTCGTTCAACAGAAGCTGCTTGGAAGGAATAAGCGTCTCAGTTTCACGGGCAAGTTTCAGGGTCTTTGCATGGGGAAATGTTTGGGTGGGTAAAGCTCTTGGCTTGTACTCAAGGTCTTATTCAGGCGTGCCGATTCATAGGTGGTCTGTTTCAACCCAGGTCCACCAATGTTACGTACTTCGACTCAAGCCTTGCCAATGTGTTGAACTTGGTCAAGATGCAACATCAAGGGGTTTCGCATTAACTAGTCGTAGTTATGGCAACATGCATTGAAGACTTACCACCTCCCAGCATGCAATCAGGCACCCCTCAAACAATACAACCCCACTTACAAGTCATTTTTTGGTGGCGGTTTGAATTGAACCCGCGGTAAGGGCATTTATTACTCAGGTATGCAATGACATTGGGCTTCATGCTGCCACCAGCCCAAAACGGCATGACTTCGGCATGACTTCTTTTACCGTCAAGGTATGTCCGTGCTAGGATGCGAGCCTTGCCGGCTTCCAGGGGTGATTGTGTGTCAGCACCCTCTTCCCAACAGTTAGGGACAGTGTTCACAGGAAACCAGCCAATCACACTGGTTGGGTATCCTATTACACAGGCATTCTTAAGCGTTCGACTGTGGTGGAGGGGGTGGGGGGTTCACCAAAGGGAAAGAAGTCTTCCGGAACTCATCATTGGAGGCTTGCGATTCTGGCCGATTTACGGCCACTGCCTTGAGGATATCCTTGCTCAAATTTGGAAGTAAACCAGCGGCAAACCAACCCCTCAAAAAAAGGCCAATGTAAAGATTGCCGTATATTTGTTGATTAAACTTTGCTTGTCGCAAATCTCATGCAGTTGCACATTGGATTGGTTGGGATTCTTTGAACTGGTTCTAGACGGGTTCTGCACCTGCGAGCCAGGCTCCAAATTGGGCTTTGCTTTCCGTTGCCTAGCCATCCAGGGGTCCACGAATTGCGAGAGAGACAGACGCCGCGTTTGTCCCACAGGCAGCTGGCAGGGCAGCAGGCCATGCAGGTGGGGCGTGGACGCCGGCGGGAGATTGGTTTCTGAAAAGGACGTCATTTCCTGTTCATTACTTCTGTTGCTCAGCAAGGAGTGAGGGAATGACTCCTAAAAACCATCCAACTGTTTCCTTTAAGGGGGGGGTACTGTCAGCAAAAAGACGAGCCACCCATGTGCTTTGAGCAGTATTTTACTACCTAAGGTTCGCAAAGTATGGACTGGACCGTAATTTCCCAGAGGCCTTATTCCCCGAGGCCGGTATTTCTCTCATTTTGTGGCGAAGAGTCCAAGGTGGCGTTTCCAAGGCAATGAGCAGGCTTTAGCCCAATTGGTCCAATGTTTGAAGAGAGAAAACACACATGACCCCTGCTGCTGGTTGGACTCCCCCTGCGCACAGGATTTTTTTTTGCCCATGCCCTGTTTGCCGACCGAATTCACTTTTTCACCTTTGGAATATTGTTTGCGCACGATTCCAACCCACAAACCATGGCGCTTGACTCTGCAAATCAATAAGGTCGTCTTGGGTTCTACGTAATAAGCTTGCCGGGAAGTATTGCCCTGTAGCTGGGGAGTTGGGTAGCAACCAGTCTTTGGTCTCCTTGAAAGGGAAACCAAAAGGAGGCTCTTTAAACCACAGGCGTTGAAATTTTGGGAGCCAACAACTCTAGAGGTGGATTTCCCATTCTTTGCATCCATCGTTCTTTAGAAAGCCAGCTGTTTTTCCTGCATTTCCAGAGGTTTTCTAGAAGGATTTCTGGAAAGAATGCAAAAGGTGCCCCTAGAATCCTAGAGCAGATGGGGAAGATATTCCTACAAAAAAACACCCATGTTCCAACGTGGCTCAGCCCTGAGACGCGTCAGGCGAGCCAGGGCTTGCAGGGCCTCACCCGTCAGCCGCTGCGGCCGGTGCTGGACGTGCCACTTGGAGCTGACCGGGGGGGGGGGGGGCCTTCAAAGCCGGAGGCAAATGTCAAGCGGATACCCTTTTGGTCCGCAAACAAGGAACCCATCAAACGGGTCCCTCAGGAAAATCGTCTAGGAAACCCCCAGGTTCTCCATTTGGATGGCAAGGTGAAGTAGCACCCTTAAAAAAAATCGACTTCGCCAACAAGTCTGTAGGACACTACTGATCGCCGAAACCGCCAAAAAAGATAGATAGAATTCCCTCAAACAAAAACCCTCCGGTTCCTCAAGGCGCCTGAAAAGAGTCGCAATTCGGATCTCCTTTTCCGGGCCACCGCACGGTTTGGCTCCTCTTGGTTGAGTTGGTTCCCCTGAATTGTGGTCAAGGGAAACCAAAAGGAACGCCGAAGCCATTTGCAGGTTAATCCGTTTCTTGTGGGTTCCTTTCAGGGCATTTGGGGGGTCCAACCTGAGAAAAGACACCCAAATGGTTGGAAAGCCACTGCGAGTTTGCACTGGGGCCGTTGGCGCAGTTTCCCTATTGGTTCAGCCAGGTCGGCTCAGGCTCAGGACTACACTTCCCCCTGGCAATACCTGAAAGACCATTTCGAACAGCAAGGGTCGGGACCCGCCTTGTCGCATTTGGCAGATTGGATGTCACCTCTTGTTATGCTCCCCACTTCAGCTGATCTTAGGGCAAGCCAGTGATTCCATTTCCTTGTAGGTACAGCAAACACGCAACCCGCGCTTTAAGAACCAAAAAGGAAATGGCTGGCTACCTACCTTTTGGAACTTGCCTGGATCCACTGGGTTAGGGAAACCCAAGCTGGACCCCGCTTTGGGCGTTCAATGGCTGGCCTTGCGGTCGATGCCGACTTTGATCCGTACGCCCGGTTTCCTGCAAGTCGTTGGTTGTGCATCAGCTTCACCAGCTGATTTAGAGGATCTAGATCCTTGTAAAGCAGGTATCCTTTAATTGAAGCACCCTTGCCTTTTCACGCCCTCTCCACTTGCCGGCCTCCAATCCCACTCACCTTGTTGCTTCTTGGCCCTTGTGGAGTTTTCTCCATTTTTTCTTTCAGCTGGTGACAAGTTACCCTAAACCCTAAACCCTAAACCCTAAACTTTGTTTTCCCTTTCAGCGAGCAACAAGTTGTCGCTTGTCGCGTCGGATCAGCTCGACTTCCTTGGTGTCACCTTAGGCTCTCGGAGCTGCTGCTGTTGCCGGTGCATTTGGATGGCCTGGCCCTGGAGAACGGCCGGCTCCGGCGCACATTTGCGCGCCTCGGACCAGTTGAATCACCTTCTTTGTGTCAAAATAGGGGTTAGGAACCCCCAAAAATGGGCGGTGTCCTATTGTTCCCCAACCCTTCTTGTGGGGGAGGGGGGGTAAAACTGCCAACTCCAAATTTACTTCCCTTTTTTTTCTCACTTTTTGGGGCCCCCCCTGGGGCAAGTGGGCGGGGCTTCCTTTGGTTTTTGGGGGCCCAGTGATGCCCCGGAGCCAAGGTCCTACAGCTGGATCGTCACGCAGGCCGTTTCGGGGCTCGGCAGATGGTCTTGGCGGCTCGTGGGTAAAACATCCCGCTTTTTGTCGTGGGGCTCGCGAATTCTGAGACAAACCCAAATGTGTGTACCAGCTGTTCGGGAATCGGGTTGTTAAACAAGACCATGGACTTCAAGAATGGTTGGCTATTGGCTTTTTGGATTGGTGGTTTGGGGATTTGAACCCCTGGTTCTTGTAGAGGGATGGGAAACTACCTTCAACCAACACACCAATCGAAACCACTAGTTGGAGAGGCTTTGGCGCCACTTTGCGCAGACTGTGCAACGGCTCTGATCTCTCCCCATCCAGACAAAATGGCGGAGAGAAACCCCTTGAAGGCATGTCAGCGGGTTTGACTCACCAGTGGGACCCCCCTGGTTCGCCTTTGAAACAGCGGAAAAGGAGGTACCTTCCAAGAATACATACCTCATGGAGGCGGGAGGAAGCCCATTTGCCCTTATTAGGCCCCAATAAGGCCTTATTTCAGGCTTATTTGGGCTCCCTCCCCCTCTCCTCCCTCATGAGGTTCTCGTCGCAGGCCACTTGGATCAGACTACCTCAGCCCACCCGCAAGAAGGCCGTTGCAAGCCTCCCACAACTTCGATGGCTGTGTTTGTTGTGGGCCGTTGGGATATGTTCCAGTGGCAATACCATTAATTTATTTGACGTATCACTAGCAGATACGTATATTCTTCATACATATGTTGTATGGCATCTAATATGATGCACATGTCAGTTTGGACATGGGAAACAGAAGTTGTTGGAGGACACTGGCAACTTGATTTCGAATGGCACATGTATTTGTTAGTCTCCCCTCACTCTCTATGGAATTGCCGAGAGCCTGGGGTGCGTGTGCCAGGTGCGCCGCTTGGGGTTCCTTTTCCGGAAACGTTGCCCAGCCTCTTGGGACACTAGGTGTAGCCCCAAACCGTAACGACAAACGCCCCAGAGGAATTAGTCTTTCTGCAGGGTCTGCACACTTCCATGTTAGTCGGTGAGAGGGTAAGTTGAGTGGATACCTTGCTGTGGTTTCCATGCTATTCTAAGTTCTTCCCGCTCGTATCCAATAGAGGCAGTCTTTCAAGGATGGAGTTCTCAATTGCCGCTTCCCCACGCCTGCAGTTATATACCTGGAGTCTCCATGACCCTTTAAAAATGGGGTCATTACCCAAAATAAAGGGGTCATGGACCCATTTTTAAAGGGTCATGGAGACTCCAGGTACCTTTTGTGCTACTCAAGGCAGCTGTAATTGGGGAGCATCCGGCCAGGAAGAGCTATTCCTTGATATCAGAAGCGAAGCAAGCACATCCAACCACGAAGCCCATGTCAGTTGCGGTAAACAAACATGAGGCTGCTCCCGCCGCCTGCAATATTTCGGCACGCCCCTGCGGCGGGGCCTTTTTTGAAAGCCTCTCCTGGGCGAGCCCTGGAAGCTGAAAGGAGCGTTTTGGAAAGCCAGATGTCCACTTCCGCGCTGGGCAAAAGTTGGTTTCAAGGTGCAGTCTGTCCATCTCTGTCCACTTAGCTTGGAAGAACGGCTCAATGTGTACTGTGTGTGGTTCCCGTAGAAATTGGCAGATCTGTGCGACGTGGCCCCGGGTGTTTGGGCGGATTACTTTTGGAGGCCTCCACGCCTGGCTCAGCGCTGCCGGAAGTGCCACAGGCGAGAGCCGTGACAGGATGTGTTGGGTGGGTTGGGTGGGTTGGGTGGGGTGGGTGGGTGGGTGGGTGGGTGGGTGGGTTGGGTTGGGTTGGGTTGGGTTGGGTTGGGTTGGGTTGGGTGGGTGGGTTGGGTCTGTTAATGGGCTGTGTATATGTTCTGTTCGGATGCTTGTTCAAACTCGATAGGCTTGCATGTGGGGGTATACGCCTTGCACTCGTGCAACGGGGAAAAAAACACAAAAAAAACACTGTTTCACTTCAAATTGCCGACACCCTTGCAACGAGTCTCAGCTGCCCAAAGCGAATCGGCCGAAGCTAAGCCTGTTGATTTCTACGTGCTTTGGCAAGCTAAGTGAGGAGTGTCCAGGCTAACGTGTTGCAATCCAAGAGCTGTGACCAGCTCTACTATCCCTGTTCCGTCGGACCGAGTGAACAGTGACTTGTTTGCCTATTGGCAACTCTTCGGTCCGACTGAACTCTTTGTTTGGCAGTGGAAAATTGCAAACCCAGAAAGAACGCAATGCCTTCTATAAGCACGGTGACAAGCTTGAGGATGCGTCGCTTCCAGCAACTCGCAAATTGTGGACCCATGTGTCACCGCTACCTAGCCTGGGTGCCCAGGCTGAGGGGTGCCATGAACTGGTCCAAACGTCCAGCGCTTCAACACCTCCTTTTGTCCCAAGAATTGAGCCCTTTCCTTTTCTGCGGCCAGCAAGAGCCACAGATTCAAATGGCCACGCCTATAAATAGGGGATCGCCTATAAGTGGTGGTTGGTGGACTTCTGAATCCTAAATGCCCACCAACGGGTCCCCAATCAAAAAATCAATGCATGCCCAACTGGCCACCACTGTCCGAACTCCGATGCCGGGCAGTTCCAGCTCGGAGTCAAACTTGGCCAGGCGGCGGCGTTAAAGCAGGAGCTGCAAGAGGCACACCTGGGGAGCTTCGGGGGATGTGGGGACGTGTTGCCTTTGTTTGCTGGGTTTGGTTCGGTTTGATTTGGCAGGTTTGGTTTGGGTTTCTCTAAGTCGAGTGTCAGAAGGCGTCGAAACGTTAGGCCCCTGAAACTGCCAGACGTCTTTGAAAAGGCATTGCCGATATCCCACAAGTCTTTGTCCGCTATTAGTTGCCTTGTTTCAAGGACCATACGCGTGGTGGTATATCTTGTTTTCCTTCACCCACTACGGTGCCCACAAATACTTATATGCAGGCGCGCCGAGGCTGAAGTCATCAAAGGTAGAGTATTGTTCCGAATATTTCTATTCAGACCGCTTGTTTGAAGTGTTTCAGGTGACTTAAATCGCTTGACACATACCCGAGTATGGAGTAATCTCGGGCTTGGCTAGGGCTTCTTACTGGGCGGCAAACCCTTTTGCCAGGGCTTCTGTTGGCCACCATAGCACCGGACAGGCAGCGTTTGAGAGTCCATGGCCGGCTTTGAGAGAGTTTGCCAAACCTCCCAAAAGTCTCCTCTCTTTTCCGCTTTCAGTTGACTCGGATCACTAAGACGCGCTATTAATGCTGAATTCAAACGAAGAAAACATGAACGGCCCGCAGGCTAAAGTATATTCAGGTGCCCGTTTACTTGGGGGGTATGGAGTCCAGCGATGTTCATGGGGCTAGGCCTGGAGTGTTGGCACGTTTGCTTGATTTCTTGAAGCATGGGCCGTGGCAGCACCAACTCGTCTAGGCTCCGTCGGGTGAATCACATGGGGAAGAAATCGCTTAATACGTTAAGTTTCTTTCCAGCAAAGGTCAAAGGCACCGCTTTCCTGTTGTGACACGTAGGGCGGAGCAATAATGGAATGGGGTTTCGGGCAAAACAAATTCCCTGATGATGGAACCATATACTCCGCCCTTACATTCGCCTTGGCAGCCTTTGATAGGTTGCAAACCTACGGACTTTACTGGGTTCAGACCGCCTTTGGTTGGTCGCCGGTTGCAAAACTAGGGGGTTTATAGTTGTAACCAACCAACCAATAATTTGATTGCAAATTGGGTCTATGGTACCAAGACAATGCCCTCGTGAAACACCAACCATAGGTGTTTTGGCACCAAAACCCCTAGTTTACCAAACCCCTCATGAGCTACTTCGGGGAACCAAGCATCTGGTTAGGTTTTTTTGGTTGGTTTACTGGGTTTCTATTTGGGCCACGAGCCAACCTGGAGCTCGCAGGCAGCTGCTCTGGTGCAAGGCGACGCTTTCCAGATCTGCCTTGCCGGAAAACCCGGCGAGGGACATGTTGTTTGTTTAGGTCGCCAGCTAGGTGCCCTTTTGCCGTTTCTTTTTTGGCCTCCTAAAATAGACAAAACTGAAAAAATATTGTACCCTTATTCTAACCTCTCCACTGGAGGACCTAGTGTTCTTCTTTGCCGCGTTCTGTGAGCCAAGGGAATCTACAGAGAACCGACGGCTCCCCAAAAAAGGTCTAGTGTTGTAGACACAGATGTTACAGGGAATCTACAGCGAACCAGGTCTGGTCCTGTTTAGGGGAATTGCAGAAGATTCCTGCAAACAATCTAGTCGCCACGGAAATTGTAATTTTCCATATCAATCTGAATTTTATATATATAGCCATATATATATATATACACACACCCGCTTCCAAATGCGCTCGGTAGACGAAAAAGTCCGAGGCCAACATCTGCCAGGGTGCGGCGCAAGAGAAGCTGGAGGTGCGCATGCACCTTTTGGCCTGAAGAGGCCTCCCATTGGTCAAATCATGTTGACCCCAGATTACTCAGCCTGGCTGCTTTGTGGGGGGGTGTGGGATTCAGACAACGTTTGGAGGGGGACACAGTCCTAGTAAAGGACGGGTTTATTATTCCGTGGTGAACAAGAAGAGGTTGAACTTTTCAGATGTCAGCTGCCCTTTGCAATCACAAGGTCACTTTTTCACAGGGTTGAATCTGAGGGTAAACCATCAAAGGCGCCTGTAGTCCATCGGGCTCCGTTTTGAGAGACTCGCCGGGGCTTGAGCATAAACCGTAGGGCGTAGGCCGTTTATGGCCGTGTTGGATGGATCAAGTCACATTGTAGCTCACAAGCGGATGTTGCTTCACGCTTGCCAGACGTTGTTGTGTTTATTTTCGTGGCCGGAGGGTGAAGGCGAGCACACGGTACGATGGGACCCGGGACCATCTGCAGGGGTGCATGCTGTGAATGCGCGTTTGTTTGGAGCCCGAAAGTGGGTGGCTTCACTTCGGTATTCTTTGCAAACAATGCAGAGAACGTATCCTCGCCGAAAAGACTCCCATTCGGCTTGGTCCAAGAGCATTGTTTGCATTACTCAAGAAGGAAACCAACACCCAGAGCTTGAAATGGGTCTTTTTCGAGGGTCTCCTTTTGGGGAACACGTCGAATGACACCACCCATTTCGGGGTCCCCTCTTTGACACATGCCCAAATTTGGCTTGTCTAAAAAAAGAAAAGAAACGGCACTGGCATCCAAAACAGGTAACGCACGGTCATTCCGTCAGTCTTTGTATATTGTTTTGTTGTTTCTTCGGTCAAAACTGGCGACCCTTGTTGGCTTGCTTGAAACTCGAACTAGCATGACGCAAGCCAACCTGAACGCGGCCCTGTTTGATGAGTCATGCTCGTGTTGGGACTCATGGCTGTGCTTCAATGCCGCGAGTAGAGTCGTTGCAAGTAGGATGTATTGTCACTGTTTGTTAGAAACCACTTTCCACCTGTTTGCCAGTGGTTTTAATGTTCACAGCGGCACGGATGTCTAGATGGTCATCTTAGCCTAGTGGGTTTCAGAGTTGTGGCATGGAATGCTGTTTTTTTTTATCGTTGTCCTGAACTCTATTCAATTTGGCGCCTCTTTCACGCAGCGCTCGTTTTTTCGGCCTGAGGGTCGAGTCGGCCGAGATTGTTTTTTACTCGCTCGCGTTTTTGAGCATCGACCTGTTTGCCGACAAGTAAATCATCCAGACTACTTACCTATCTTGCTGCCCGTGTCTGGCTGACCTAAAAGCGAAACCTGTGGAGGCCTAGCAGCGCTATATTTTTTTCGGGTGTCACAAACATGGAGCGCCGCCGCCCAAAAAAGTCAAAAATATCGGCGGGTGTTCCCTTCGGTGTCCCTTTCAAACTAACCTGAACAATGCCACTCGATCTACTTCTCATTTTAGTTTAGGAGAACAAGATAACATGAGAAACTACCCTTCCAAAACACACGCCTACGCACTTGTTGCTTTCTCAGCGGTGCTCGCGCCGTGCTCGAGGGAATCCGGGAGCACTTCCTGGCATACTTCCGCGGGCGCTTGGAGGAGCAGAGGGGTGCTGAGCTTTGGCTGCCCCGAGCCTCAGCCCGGGAAGCCGCCAGGAAAACCGCCACTTTTGGGTTATAGCATCCTCAAAAGGAGGTCCAGGTCTTTGGGATGGCCAAAGCATCGTGTGAGTGTCTTTGTTCAAATTCTTGTGCTCCTGTATGTCAACCCTTTGACAGGTGGATTTCTCGAAATGGTGGAGCCTCTTTTTGGTAAACGGGAAGCCCAACAACAAAAACAAAAACCCTAAGGACTTGCCCCTCTAGCCCACCCAGCCCACTCCACCCCACCCACCCCCTCCACCCCACCCCACCCCCGAGGTTTTTGTTGACCCAAACGCCAGGAGGAGCCCTGCGGCCCAGTGGCCGCCTCTCAGCTTTGGCTGCCCCGGGAAGCCTTGGTGCCATGGGCCTCCTGGCACCGATTTGGGATCAAAATCGATCCGCGTGAAACTCGAAATGGTGGACATCTTGGCCTTGCTGGGGGGGGGGGTTGGAAGAGGCAAAATAGATCCTTGTGGCACCCGAAATGGACATCAAACCAAAAAAAGATCGGTGGGGATGTGTGTGTGTGTGTCCAATCGTCTTGGAGGGCCCGGAATTTCACGTGTGCAAAGGGACACCGAATGGGAACAACGCAATGTTTAAGGCTCACCCATGTATGGCCTATCTAAACGCGTGCACGCCCCCTTTTGGTTGCCTTTCAAGGAAAGCCGAAGGAAACCAGCCATTTGGAGGCTCTCAGACTGAGACAGTTCCATGGCCTTTTGTGCAGGTTTACTCAAAGCCCCCTTTTGGTTGCCTTTCAAGGAAAGCCGAAGGAAACCAGCCATTTGGAGGCTCTCAGACTGAGACAGTTCCATGGCCTTTTGTGCAGGTTTACTCAAAGCCCCCTTTTGGTTGCCTTTCAAGGAAAGCCGAAGGAAACCAGCCATTTGGAGGCTCTCAGACTGAGACAGTTCCATGGCCTTTTGTGCAGGTTTACTCAAAATGTGTCCCAAAACAGGCGGTCAACCGGACAACCCTGAAAGAAGAAACAGCCAACAAAAACGCGCAGTTTTCCTGAGGGTGTCCTTTTGGGGGTTGATGCGGAAGAAGTCAATGTACACTAACCATTGGGGTTCATTGAGACGAATCCCAACTGGTGTTCGGTGCCTTTTTGTGTTTGAGCTGGGAAGCTGGTTTGGCCCCCTGCTGTGAGCAAACAGTTTGCCAGACAAGTAGATTAAACACGTTTCAAGTTTTAAAGATAGTTAGGTTTCGGTCATTCACCTTTGGGCTATTGGCAGTGCAATACCTGTCCCGGCTTCAAATGGCACTACCAGTGACGCCCAAATTTAGCTTCAAGCAGGGCTCCTGTGTTATCAACCCGCTTTATACCGGCGGCACCGGCAATGACCACTGAGATCCGTGTTTCAACCTGTTGGTACATTTTCAGGTTCACCAACTATGAGCCAGCATCCAAAGTAGGTTTCGAGGGATGCAAGTGCCGTATAAAACTTGGCCTACATGGCTTGTTTTTCAGACTTGGGGTCATTGTTCTTTTGGTTGTTCTTTGGCTAGCAACCAAAAAGGGGGTGCCAGATCCGCCTGAGGTATGCTGCTTCGTGCTCCACGTCCGCCTCTTCACCCGCGGTCGTGACGAGGTCAAGCTGCTGGGGGAGGCGCGACCGATGGGAAAAAAGCAGTCAGGGGTGCTACCCGGGGGTTTCTCAAGGTTGGCCCTGTTTACCGGTATGGGTCAAAATTCAACCAGGGGAGCGGATTTTGGTCCATGTTTCCACTTACTCGGGCAAGCCATTTGGGGTAATTACCTATTTTTGACCCACAGGGATTTTGGAGAGGGTTC